GTGCATTACCGCCACCTATCTCTCAAATGGACCATTGACACTCCTAATTGAGATTGTAGATCATTTTCTTTTTGTGTTTTTATAATTTGGTTGGGCTGAATATTTCAGTGTCCTGATGCTGGATGTTGTTAGTCATGTTAGGCTTTGGGAGTCAAAAAAACATACACTAACAAAACCAAATTAAACCCTGCGGCTTGTGACGATACATTGATGTGTAAAGACACGAAACGATCGGTCTGTGCAAGAAACTTAACAGTATTTATATCGTTTTTTACCTCTGATTCACTGCAATGTCAGGCGCAATCCTGAGCGCGTTCGCGTCTTCTTCTTCTTGCAGACTTATAAGTGCATTACCGCCACCTATCTCTCAAATGGACCATTGACACTCCTAATTGAGATTGTAGATCATTTTCTTTTTGTGTTTTTATAATTTGGTTGGGCTGAATATTTCAGAGTCCTGATGCTGGATGTTGTTAGTCATGTTAGTTTGTTTTTGCAGCTTCAGGACCATCTGAATCAGGGGACTTTTTTTTCAGGGTTCACTTTATGGTTTTTAAGAGCTTTAAAATGGTAAGAGTTGGGGTCGCTCATTTTTAGGTGTTTCCAAAATTTGATGGCTCATTTCTCAATGCATATTAGTAGAGGGTATTGGCCTAATTCTGCCCTGCATGCATTGTTCGGTGTGTTCCTCTGTACTCTGAGGAGACTCTTACAGAACTCAGCATGCAGGGCTTCAGTTGGATATTTGTCCCATTTTTCAAATTCGTGATTTATGAGAGGACCCCACATAATGCAATAGGTTCCACAACTGATTGGAATATTTTGAGCCGGATTCTAATTGGTATTTCAATTTCTCTCTCTCTCTCTCTGCAGGCAGATGTACATTGATAATCTGGACGGGCCGTTCTCTCTGGCCGCGCTGCCGTATTCTCAGATGAACGAACTCCTGAACCGTACGGGAGAGAGAAACTACGGCCGCCCGCATGAGCCACCACCACCACCACCAACCTACCCCCCCGACACCAAACCAGCCTCCGTTATCAGGTACACCACACACATGCACACTCACTCGCACTCACACGCACGCACACACACTCACACACACGCTCACACTCACACACGCATACACACTCACATGCACACTCACTCACACGTATACTCACTCACACACTCACTCACACTCACACTCACACACACACACACACACACACACTCACAGACACACACTCACACACACACTACTGTAGCTTTAATATTTGTGAAAATACATTAAGATAGTATTCAATTATTGCAACTAAAAATTGTACCATAATAATTATAATTATCATTATAATAATTTGTATTCAATTATATATGAAGAAAAAATAATGTTAAATATTTTTTATAAAATATTTTTTTTATAAAAGAATTGTTATTTAAAAATTTCATCAAAATTATTACAATTATATAATTGTAATTATATAATTATAACTATAATAATAATTGTAATTATCATAATTTATACACAGAAGATCTTATAATAAATTTGTTTATGAAAATTTGTTTATGAAAATTCATCCTCGTTGATGCTCTGCCAACTAGCTGATTTTGGAAATTGTGAGTTTTGCAACTTTACTGATTTTTACATGTCTCTCCAGACATGGTTTTATGTTTACGCGATACGCAACGCAACGCGTAAAAAGACTGTATAAGGCTATGTTCACACATGGCGTCTTTTTTGACAATAAAAAGTTGACAAGGGCGTTTTTTTAGTGAAAAAAAAAGCTGGCAGCGTTTCTGTTACAAATAGCAGCCGAGGGCGTCTTTTGTTGCTATAGCAACAGCTTGAACAGTAGCCTAGCGCTGTGTGGTGCAAGAATGTCGAGAAAGAGGAAATTGGCTCTTGCGTTGGCTTTTGAAGTTAACGGGGAAGAGAATGTCGGTTTACAACGACGTTTGTGGGTGCACGACATTATACGGGGAAGGAACCAGTATGGTGCTTACAACAATTTAGTCCAGGAGCTCCGGTTGGATGATGCACGGTTTGCGGCATATTTTAGACTAAACATTAAAACATTATTATTATACTAAATATTTTGTGCTCATATCATATAACTCCTTGTGCTCCGAAACTAGTACGATCAGTTTATCTACCCGCACCTTCTCCATTTTTTCTTGTTCTTGTTGTTATGGAAACAACAGGTCTCGCTACTCGCTTGTCATTGGTCAGCTGTCAAAAAGGCGCTTGACGTAGGGCGTTTTTTTCAGAAAAGTTAAACTTTTTTCAACTTGAAAAGACGCTCTGAGCTGCAGAAAAAGCCGCTGGCGGTTGCGTTTAAAAAAGCGCTCAGGACTTTTTTGAAAACACGGCTTACGCCATAGAATTATAATGTAAAACAGACGCTGGCAGCTTCAAAAAAGATGCCAAGTGTGAACACGCCCTAAGTCATTATAATCCGTAATTATGTCCCCACTGGATGTATTAAGTATTTCTGAGATTGCTGCGGATGATTTCCATTTGTTTGTTGTGTAACAATTCTACTATTTAAAAAAGAAAGAGAGAAAAAAATATTTGAACAATTATACTCTACCCTTTAAAACTTTGGGGTTGGTAAGATTTTTTAATGTTTTTAATGTCTCTTAGGCTATGTTCACACTTGGCGTCTTTTTGGACAAGAAAAAGTTGACATGGTTGTCAAGGGGCGTTTTTTTTTGTGAAAAAAAAAAGCTGGCAGCGTTTCTGTTACAAATAGCAGCCGAGGGCGTCTTTTGTTGCTATAGCAACAGCTTGAACAGTAGCCTAGCGCTGTGTGGTGCAAGAATGTCGAGAAAGAGGAAATTGGCTCTTGCGTTGGCTTTTGAAGTTAACGGGGAAGAGAATGTCGGTTTACAACGATGTTTGTGGGTGCACGGCATTATACGGGGAAGGAACCAGTATGGTGCTTACAACAATTTAGTCCAGGAGCTCCGGTTGGATGATGCACGGTTTGCGGCATATTTTAGACTAAACATTAAAACATTATTATTATACTAAATATTTTGTGCTCATATCATATAACTCCTTGTGCTCCGAAACTAGTACGATCAGTTTATCTACCCGCACCTTCTCCATTTTTTCTTGTTCTTGTTGTTATGGAAACGACAGGTCTCGCTACTGGCTTGTCATTAGTCAGCTGTCAAAAAGGCGCTTGACGTAGGGCGGTTTTTTTTTCAGAAAAGTTAAACTTTTTTCAACTTGAAAAGACGCCACGCTTGAGGTATTCGGCCAATCACAACGCACTGGATAGCTGGCCAATCACAGCACATCTTGCTTTTCAGACCGATGAGCTTTGTAAAAATCGACGCATTTCAGAAGGCGGGGCATAGAGGAGAAACAATAATGTACAGTATGTGGAAAATAATGTGTTTTTTTAACCTTAAACCGCATAAACACATTTCATTACACCAAACACATAAAATAATGTTCTTTTTAGCAACATCATATGACCCCTTTAAAACAAAATATGTATGTAAAAAATAAATGCAACTAATATATCAATATAAAGTATATAATTAATATTTTATGTAAATGAAATGTAATAAATATATAAAATTAACAAATGAACATAATTTAAAATATATAATTAATGCAAAAATATTTACGGAATAAGTAAATGCAATTAATAAATCAATATATTTAAATTATTTAATTAATTTAAAAAAATACCAAGACCTTTTTAAATAACCCTATGGGTAAAATGAATGGAGAAAAAAAAACAAAAGCCACTAATAAAGATTGCCATTAACGTGTTTGCAAGCTAGCAACATGCTAATCAAATAACAAAACAAGCATAAAAATGAGTAGCAAACACAAATATTTAATAAAAAGCCAGTTTTAATTAGATTACATTATCCAATTTTTAATTGGACTGAATTATTTTATCACTACTCTTTAGTACTGAGTTTAAGCGTGAATCCTGTGAAAACCTGTCCAGATCACATTTCACTCCAAAATCAAAAGAAATTATAATTTTATGTAATATTTGCATTGTGACATTTTTTTTTCCGTATTTCTGTCTCGCAGCTCCAGCTCAGGTTTCTCGGACAGCATCATGCATTCTCCGGCTCGCACGCCTGTCTTCCTCAACTCCAATGCCCCGCCCCCGGCACCTCCCCCTTTACCACCGCCCCCTCCCCCTCTGCCAGCCAGCCTATCAGGTTCAAGAATGC